AACACTGGGATCGTGGGTTCGAATCCCACTCAAGGCATGGGTGTCTGTGTGCGTTCATTCTGTGTTTGTGTTGTTCTGTAGGTAGTGGCCTTGCGACGGGCTGATCGCTCGTCAAAGGAGTCCAACCGATTGTATATAAAACAGGTAATGCTGTCTCTGTCTTAGGCCATGGAGGCCCAGTGGTCTGTGAGACGTCGAGGCTCCCACATTTTCTAGACAGTCGGCTCACAGATAGCGGTAAGATTGTCAGCCTTACGCGTCGGCCGTCCTCTACGCCCTGGAAGATTCATGATACTCATTTATGTTAGATGCTGAGTCGACCCCAGAGCCATAGCGCGGCTGGAATGATTAGGTCATTTGAAAAATCCCATGACATCGGGAATCGAACCCGCGACCTTCCGGTGAGTAGCGTACGAAACTGAAAAATAAAAGCGGTCAGGGCCCAACATTGGGATGAATGGTTTGGTTAGTGGTTAGCAACGTTTCGGAGAAAGACAATGTCTCATTCTTCATGATGGAAGCGAGGATAGAGCTTTACCCTGAAGATGTATGGAGTATGTTCATCCGAAACTTTAACAATCTATGAAAACGTCAGTATCAGTTTTTTTTTCTTAGTGACGAAATCGAGAAATATGACGCGGAAGTTACGTAGGCAGGTGGGATAGTAACTTACTTTACATGATTAGCATCAGAATGCATCAGTGCATTAATTTGGCTTTGGAAGCCACCGCGAGATCAGAGACCTCCGCTTTTGCCTGACATAGTGTGGGCTGTTAAGACTGAATTCTATTACGTATTTATTACCGTGCTGATTGTTGGTTTTTGGAAGTTATAAAGGGACCACCAGGTGCTTTATTGAGTGGGACGAACTGCACCGGACGCAGGTCATCTCTCCGGTTCTCACGCCTCCTCTCTCCAGTCTTTCCCTTCCTCGTTGCCCTACGTGAGAGGAACACCGGCACAAGGGACTGCTCTACTGTAACAGTCCCTCGCCGCACGCGGTATACTGTTTTATGTATCCGCAGTTATTTAATTTTTACAGAACGGGGAGGGGGAAGGACTGTGATTCCCAGCACCAGGATATCTATATATGCTGCAGCAGGGCTAAAATAACCATTTGAATCCAGTCCACGTCATCACACTTTTTCATGTGATTCATTTTAATATTATTGTCGCTTCTGTTCTTAGGTCTTCCAAGTGGTCTCATACCATAATTTTCCCGCACTGAAACAGTGTTTCTTTTTAATTCGCTTAGTGGGGGGTGGAGTCCAAGTGGGTCCACGCGGCACGGCGGCCACTGATTGGCGTATTGTATCCTGACCCGGGTGATTATGATGATGGAGAATTTGGTGGAATGAAGATTGGCAGTGGAAACCGAAGTACTTGGAGAAAGCCCGCCAAAGCGCCACTTTGTCCACCACAAATCCCACTTGACCAGACCCCGGCTGGAACCCGGTCCGCGGCGGTGGGAAGCCAGCGACTAACCGCTTGAGCTATGGCGCGGCCTCCCGAAACAGCGGTTGCACGTCTCTAAACCCACGTTTTCCCATAAGACCTTCCTTCATGTTACCAGACACGGTTTTGCCAGTCAGTGCTCTATTCAGGAACGTAATTCCTTGGGCTCACGATGGTTGCTGCACTGTCATTTCAGTAGTGGAATTCTTGAACCCATGTTGTCTCTTTAACTATGGTTCTGTTTCTGACACTCGCCAATTGAGCTGTGTAATTGGCGACTGTGCCCCTGCTATAGCCCCATTAACCACCTCTTTCCCCCCCCCACCCTGTGGCGCTACAGTCCCGATTTGGGCCTAGGCCTACCTTCATGAAACACTCCGTTTCACTTCGGTTTACTAGATCATACACATTCGGTAGGACTCCTTGGGCGGGTGATCAGCTCGTCGCAAGGCCTCTACCTGTAGACAAACACAGAAAAACGCACACAAACATCCATGCCCTGAGTGGGATTCGAACTCACGATCCCGGCTTCCAAGCGAGAGAAGATAGTGCATGCCTTAGACCGCTCGGCTACCGTGACCGGCCATTAACCACCTCTGTGGAGGGCAATTCTTCTTGATAAGCTGGTAGCCTCTAAGACGATCAAGAAATTCCTTAATTTTTCTTGAAATCGAAAAATTTATTATCGGCATCAGCATTTTGTTACTGAACCCCAAGCCAGCTGAATCAATTCCCGAGCCTCATGGTATATATATATAAGCTCCGTGGTAATATCCCCAGCAATTATCCTGCGACACAGGCATGTTCGTGGTGCTTGGCAAAGGTCTCCTGCCTGCCTAGTGTTTCTGCCTTCTCGGAAAGCTATAAAGAACGTTATTCTTATCCAAAGCTGCTCCATTGTATTGAATCTAAGTAGGCCTGTTCCTGGGAACTTAACTTGAAACAGTTCAACTTTGTTTCCCAAAATGGGCCTAATCGCTCAGCCGTGGTTCATTGATATGTAACAACGACTGGTCTTGTAATAATAGATTTGCCGCCCAGAATAAGGGAGTACGCTTTTGACCTCACTAACAGCAAGAAACTGAAATTTAGTATGGCATGTCTGCCTAAACTGCGATGTGAACATCTAGGAATTTTAAAAAATCTTCCTTTTTAAGCTTATCTTAAAACATAAGCCTCATAACAAAAAGAAAAGTATCATTCAAATACGCTCTTCTATCTGTACAGCAATTTTCCTTAAATATTCTGTCTAAGAGTTCAGAGAAACGCTGCATCTGACAGCGGCGACTGCAGTGCCACCACTGTTGCTGACTAAAGACATGTACCCGAACTTACCTTACAAGAACCATTTTGCCTTTCCCTGGAGCTGAGGTTCTCATAGTGGTGACTATGAAGAGTACTCTGTTCTGAGATGTGACTCTTTGTAGTTCGGAACAAGTTCCTCCATCTTCAGCATCCAAGGAAGAAAGCATTAAGAAGCAGGCAGTAAACAGAGTTTTGGCCTGTGACCCTGAAGATGGACAGACTACCGAACTACACGGCATAATATTTCAGACGATAACGCTCTTCAGCTTCGCCTTTTCTTCAATCTACAAGCTAGATCACGGTCAGGGTTTGGTGGATATTATGTCACGCCAAGGAATCAGCCCAAATGCCTGGCTCGTCAGGTGGAACATATCATAACATACGACTTTGTGTCGGTGAGGAGTTTGTTAGGCCTAGTCCTACCCCTTGTCGCTTGTACCAGCTGAATTCCGTGTATGGACGTTCTTTACGTTCATCCACGACTCGTTTTACTTTAAGGTAAGGCAAATTCGTTCCTGTGCGTAACTAAGCACTACACCATGAAGGCGTATAGGGGAGTGGATGTATAAACCCACGTTTTCTTGACCTCTGCACTAGTTGGAGGTGAGCCGTCAGCTTCACGTCCCGGTCGCTTTACCCCCGGGGAAAAGAGCCCCCAGTACCCATTGGATAAGAGGTTGGGTGGACCTCAGAGCCCGTTTGAACGACATAGAGAAGTGAAAATTATTGACCTCACCGGGACTCGCACACTGGCCCCTCGGTCGTTCAGCCAGAAGCTAGTCGCTATACCGACTGCGCTATCCCGGCCTGCCATATTACTTTAGCAGTTAGAACATTAAATACCGTAAATTTATGGGAAATACTTTCAGAGTAAGTAGTTATGAAAAACCAGTATGCTTTATTAGGCTGAATGATACGGAATAGATTGCATTGCGTGTTGGGGAATATGAGGGTAGAAACATTTACTGATGTCCATTGAACAAACCATCATAATGTCGAGGCACCGCCATAGGCAGAATGCGTGTGCAAATGCCTTTCTCAGCGGCTGCATTAAGATCTGTTCACGCATACAGGTCTGAGCACCCGACACTCGCAGGTTCATGGTCAGGTCCTAAGTACAGCCGCCTCTTCTGTTCTTTTCCCACAGGTATAATTAATTTAAGAAGTTGAAGTAACAGGTTATCATTTCAATCATATTTCCTTCGAGAAGTTTATTGTGTATATTTTCTAAGTCACTGCGTAAAATGAGTTCTTTGGCTAGTAGGCCTTATACCTTACTTCATGAACGCATTCCAAATAGCCGCTCTCTGTGTTTTATTGCGTTAACGTTTTCCTGCATCCCAAATAGATGTTAGGCTTGATTAAAGAACCGAATAAGCTACCATTACTGTTGTAAGATTTGAGGCTTTCACGGCGGTGACTATGAAGAAAGCAGTCTTCTGGGATTTGGCACCGTGTATATGTGGTGTTAACCGACGTTTCGGAGGAACGTATCGCCTCCATCTTCAGGGTAGAAGAAAAAATATAAGAAATCTGCAAGCGAAGAGACCGTGAGAACCGGTAAAAGCAGACTGTGTCACCGAAACGTCGGTTAACACCACATATACACGGTGCCAAATCCCAGAAGACTGCTTTCTTCATACCATTACTGTTACTACTACTACTATTACTACTAGTGCTGAGTACTTCCATTTCGGTTTAAATCAGGCTCCTCTTAGAAATGATGTAACTCCCGTTCCTTGTCCTAGTCTCCTAGTCCCGGGTCCTCTCTCCTGTGGAAAACAGCATTCCTCATCAATTTCCGATGAGTGGAATGTTCATTCCCTCTGTTGAAACTTAATGTAATAGCTTTAACTGAGCTAAGTTTAAATTTATGATCGGCTGGTGTGGCGATATACAGATCATAGAAAGTCGAATTCACTTACTGTGACCAGTTTAATTTTGTTTATGCCTGTCTTCCATGTACCACCTTGTTATATACTGTTGGCTGTGTGTAAAATGATGTTTTGTTGAGGGGTGAGGGGGTAGAAGGAAGATGAAAAAGTGAACCCTGTAAGAAAACCGGGTTCCCCTGCGGGCGAGGCCTAGCGGAACCATGTAGTAGAGACCCTGTTGCGAGACTATTCATTCATAAACTGGCTGAGTGTGTGAGTAGCCCGACTGAAAGTACCAGAGTTGTTGCTGTGGCTTGGCGGCAGGGGGAGGGGACGGGGTGTGTAGCTGCTGTGGCATGGGTTGCAAGCAATCATTAGTCTTGTACAGAGTCCTGCTCCGTGCAGATTACAAGGGTGATCCTGGGCGCAGGACCCATCGTCAACAGGTGTCACCCATGTCTCAGTGTCGTCATCTATCGGGCGAGATCAGCATTATAGTGACATGGAGACTGCCGCTGCAATGAACGTGAACTCTACTATTCGTTGAGCGTTTCTCCAAAACGCCCAATTTTACCTGTGTGGAGTTTATGAAAAAGCTTTACCCTAAGAGGCTGAAGACATCAGAATGGGATAAAGCGATAGACGAGTGTTCTGAATGTTCTTTATAGTCGTGTTACTTGTGGACTATTTGTAAAGACATTTAAACGAATCATGAATTTATCTACAGATATGTTTTGACTGTCTAATCGAAGTTGCGTGTTGAACAATCTTACATATATATATACGTACTGAATGTTAGCTATGTTGTTAGAAATGTGGTAATCACGTAAGAACACAGTTCAGTACATTTGCCACGATCTCAGTGTTAGTAAAATTGAAATTATCTGTGATCTCCATGTGTTTATTACCATCAGATCTCATTGGCCGAGCCACCAATTGAATGTTCACTATAATGGTTTATGTTGTTGCAAGTGGTTGTTGTTGTTGACGAGAAACAATGAAGAGTAGTTGTGATGGAAAGTGTTTAACATCCCATTTCTTCTAGTCACCAATATCACCACTACACATGTATATAGACTGGGATAGTTACGCAGTTATGGGAATTAAGACTATGAAGTCATTCAGTAGACCTAGAGGTGAGTGTGTGTTTCAGTTGCATTCTCTAAACGTTTCACTGTTGTTCTTGAAGGCTAATAGTGATTGTTGTGAATTGTCTGGTGTAGATTGTGAACGGGTTCTTTTTTTTTTTTTTGGCAAAGTTGATCGTAATGCCGTCACGTGAGCGAGGAGAGTGCTCCATTAGAAGACACCGTGAAGCCCAGATTAACAGCATGAAAATGGATCATATGCATTCCCTCCAAATACGAGAAAAATGTCACCTCTAGGAATTCAGGCAATAAATTTTTAATATAAGGTAAAAAAAATCTAAAAGTTGTCCCTATGCTTAATTAATTACTACGTCATGTAGGCGTATGGGGGAGTGGATGTATAGAGCCACATTTTCTTGACCTCGGCACCAGCTGGAGGTGAGTTGTCAGCTCCACACTCTGGCCGCCTTACCCACGGGGAAAGAGCCTCCGGTACCCATTGGATAGTAGGTTGGGTGGACCCCAGATCCGGTCCGGACGACGTGGAGAAGAAAATTCTTGAACTTACCAGGACTCGAACTCCGACCTCTTAGTCATCCAGCTGGTAGCCAATCGCTGTACCGACTACGCTATCCCGGCTCTTAATAGTTTAATATAAACTTCATAATTCGTTGAAAGCAATCGGTAAAACAAGATACGAATCTCTCTTCGGTAACGTAACAGACTGGATAGATTGCGTGTTTAATGACCACGTGGTTATATGTTGATGGGTTTATTGTTGCCAGATAAAGTATCTAGGAGTATAAGGAAGGTACTGAGCTTCGAGAATCGATCTCAAGTATGCTTGGCAAAACCGTGAGGCTTAGGTCAAATAGCGCGGTAAGTATTGACGGGAAAACGGGGGATTTCCGGAGCAGAATAGCAGTAACAGTACTGTGAGAATATGTTACTCTCTTGTATTCCTCTGGAAGCAGTTCGGTTCTAGTCAGTTGGTTACTTGTCGCTATTCGAACTCTGCGCATCATTGTAATAATTACAGATTGAAGGGACTTGTGGATTGGTGTGGTTGCACGTTCACGAAACTAGCCTATGGCTGAAGATGGCCCTCTAGCGTCAGTTCAAATCTTATTCAGTATAAGGAAACGTTCACATCGCATGTATTTACCATGTATTGTATCAGTTATATTTTCCCCGCATGATATACATAATTGCTCTTAACGTTGAGGATTTCCCGGTATTCGATCGAAACCTGATTCAGGAGGAAATTAAGAGGCGATTGAAGTCGGGTAGTGCTTGCAACCATTCAGTCCAGAACCTTTTGTCTTCTCGTCTGTTGTCCAAAAACATAAAAATTAGAATATACAAAACTATAATTTTGCCTGTGGTTCTGTATAGGTGTGAAACTTGGTCTCTGACACTAAGGGAGGAACACAGACTGGGGGTGTTTGAAAACAGAGTGTTGAGGAGAATATTTGAACCGAAGAGAGATGAAGTCATAGGAGGTTGGAGAAAACTGCATAATGAGGAGCTTCATAACTTGTACTCTTCTCCAAGTATAATTAGAATGATAAAGTAAAGGAGGATGAGGTGGGCAGGTCATGTAGCACGAATGGGGGAGACGAGGAATGCGTATAGGATATTGGTGGAAAAGCCAGAAGGAAAGAGACTACAGGGAAGACCAAGGCGTAGGTGGGTGGACAATATTAGAATGGATCTTAGAGAGATAGAATGGGATTGTATGGATTGGATAGATCTGGCTCAGGATAGGGACCAGTGGATGGCTCTTGTGAACACGGTAATGAACCTTCGGGTCTATAAAATGCTGGGAAATTCTTACGTAGATTCAGAATTGGCGGCTCCTCCAGAAGGGCTCATCTCCATGAGTAAGTAAGGAAGGTATTCGACAGGGATATTTGCAGGGACGAAAAATGGGAATCTGTAATCGTATTATTATTAAGTTTCTGTTATAAAAGCCTAATATTAAAATTGTATTGCTCGATTCGGAAAACTCTAAGCATTCACATAACATACTTTCTTTATATTCGAGGTGTAAATTACAAAGTTACACATAATTGTTTTCGATAGTTTCAGAAAAAGATTATTGCAGAATGCCGTAAAACTTCGAGATCTCGAAACCAACATTTCCCATCAGGTTCTGTTCTGAAAGGCTGATTAAGTTTCCTTGCCACAAATGGTATTCCAGATCCAGATGACTAGCGAATTTAGAAACTGTACCTTCCTTTCAAATAACTCCTTGCGCGTTTTAATTGCTACTGTGCAATGGGCGATTCTTTTAAGTATGACCAGTTCACTTCTATTAAGATGTAAAAATGGCCAGAGAGACCGTGTTGTCTATACTAGGAAACTTGTACTAACAATTTTTTCTCCAAACGATTTCAGACGAAGCTGTTTTCAAATAACTTATAATAACAGAACTTGGCGCTGTGTTACTGGATTTAACGGACAGAAACAGGATATCTGTAGGCATAGATCCTTCCAGTTGTCCACATAGGATTCGGTATTATCAGCCGAATATTGTTGGAATTGTCGTTTTCTTGAGAATGCTAGAAAACCCACAGGAAGATAGGCATATTGTTTTGATTTGTTGCGTTTCATTATTTGACAGTTAATGACATTGTTGGGGAGATGAGTATAGGCCTAAAGAGAAATATGAACTTCATGAATTTCCATTTTACTGATAGGGAAAATCCACTTATCTTACCGAGTTTTGCTGCTAGATATAAGGAAAACTTTCTTTCTGGCAGAAGAGATTGGCCAGTTCTCTTCAATATTTTTCCTTCAGAGCAATTAACATGAACGTAACATCTTGTATTCTTTAAATTTAGAATCGAAATTTCAAGCTGTTTAAAAGTTCTTTAAATTTAGAATCGAAATTTCAAGCTATTTAAAAGTTATGTGTTGCTAATTGCTTTATATTGACTTTGACTTGTTTGTTCAGTTGGAACTTCTTGACATGAAATAAATTTACCAGGAGTCATGATTGAAATATTTGTTACAAATGCGTTCTCGCTATGACAAGATTCGCAGAAATTAATTTGTAAATTAATTGAATTGGTAGAAGTAGCTTGCATAGATGTTTCTCTGTAGATGAAGAGTTCTCCATAGTAGGCCCATTTAATTTCTAAGTAGTTACTATAGGATTCTGACAGTGGTGTATAACACACTGATATATTGGGTTTTTGGACTTTATCCATCGTCCTGGTTTTTAAGATAACTAATAAAAACACGACGTTTCGGAAACTGGATCTGTTTCCGTCCTCAGGTGAAGGAAAACACCTATTCTGTTGGGTCCGTTAGAAAGAGCTAGCCTCAATCACTGGACGATACAGTTTCCGAAACGTCGTGTTTTTATTAGTTATCTTAAAAACCAGGACGATGGATAAAGCCCAAAAACCCAATATATCACCATTTAATTTCTGTCTACTCTACTATTCATTGTACTACGCAGTCCGTCAGGAATGCAACAAATTGTTCCTTCTTCCTTATATTCTCACATTCGATACATGTTGCGGCCCTTAAATGTCCATCTTCAGGTGTCTTAATATGCTAAAACTGCTACACTGAACTAATATTGTCCATTCGTCCCATATGCGACTGCGCGCTTCATGGTTTGAAACGTCATATTCGTAGTCAATTGGTGTGCGCTAAAATAGCACACGCTGTAGTTCACTTAATTTAAATCAATAAAATATATTGCAATTTATTTTAAATTTTGTAAAATTCTTATTACACCTCACCAAGGGCGAGGTCCACTTGTTATGGTCTGTATCCTTTACTTCAGATGTTTAATGCGACAACCTGTTTTTATATTCGTAAGCCCGTTGTTTTGTTACGTGTGCAATCTGCAACCTCTTTCCTTTGTGTTTTGGTGTTTGTCTCTAACGTTTCTGAGGCCGATGTTGTCCATTAAGTGCTTTCGGATACTGCCCAAAGTTTGCCTTGTTTGACGCGTTGTACTAGGGATGAACTTCAATCTAAAGGCGCCACGTACTCGTGTTCGTGCTCATGCTCGCCAGGCGTGTGCTCGTCGGGAGACTCGTCTGGCTTTTACTTGTGCTCGTAAATCTTCGTCCACACTACTGCAGTTGCTCGCCAGGTTTCGGCGCGTGAGGATCCGTATATTTACTCGTAGTGTGTATGGACTGTAGTCGTATTTTAATATATTGGCTATAGATTTTTAATTAACAATTTAAAATTTGCTTGTCTCGTGATTTGTCATATCGTCCACATTACTCGCGAGCATAGCGAGTCACACGAGCACGAGTAATGTGGACGCGCCTCAAGAGACACGAATGACCATTGAATCTAATTTGGGCTGGCTGTGTAAAAGACTGAAGTCACCGTTACCGAAGCACGGCTATTTTTATGAGATCCGAACACTACAGCTGTCTGAGAGCTGTTTCGTTTTCTGTTGCTCATCCACTTTCTCAGTAAACAGTAGCAAATTTCCGAATCCTACGGGATGTTCATTTTTTCTAATCTTCAGGTCGGCAGGCACACGAAATGTAAGGGGCATAGGGACAGTCGTATGCCTTGTAGATAAAGGAGCATCTGCGAGCAACCAAATATATCGATAACTGTTGTACTGTCTCATATCTACTTTACCTTGAGAGAGGTCTTCTGCAAGTTCACTCTGATAGTGAAAGAAAACTCTGACATGTGCAAGCCGGAAGGTCGCGGGTTCGATTCATGATGACATCCATGGATTTCTTAATTGACTTAACCCTTCCATGCGTACTATGACCCAGGGGTCGACTCAGCCTCTAACAGAAGCGAGTGCCAGGAATCTTCCTGGGGAGTAAAGGGCGGCCGGCACATGAGGCTGATAACCTCACCGACATCTGTCTAGAAAACGTGAGAGCCTCGATGTCTCACAACCTTATTGGCCTCCACGGCCTGTTAGAGGGCTAGCTTTACCTTACTCTTAATATTATGATATATATATATATAATGCAGTATATTTAATTTAAATGTAACTGTTTGGTTTTTGGATTCTATAGGCTGCGCTACTTATGCCGTGAATAATA